GAATGTCACCATCGGGATGTTATCATTTACTCGGCCGCTTCTCCACTGCTCATACTCTTGAGATAACTCGAGATCATAGGTGAACAGATTTACACGACGAGTTTGCTTCCAGGCCTCAGTAACCCCTTTAACTTTACCCTTATACTGATCTCCTTTGAATGCAAAATCTGACCCTACCAAGTCCCATGTGGCTGGAATGAAATGCCTTGACCCATACTGTCTGGAAACTAGTAGCGATGCATACCCAACAAAACCCCATATACCTGGCAAAAAAACCCAATCTCGCTCTCCACATCGGTAAAGTATATCCGAAGAGACATTCCACGAAGCTCACCACAAAATATCACCGTCCCTGATATCCTTGAAGATGACCATCCATTTTTCTTCGGTGAAGCCCTCAGGCCATTCTTTAGAAAGAAAATCCTTCAAAGGTGAAAACTCATCTAGAAACACTCGTCCTGGTGCCCCTTCAACATGTTTGAAATGACTTAAAATCCATACTAGTAACAAAGGCGCACACCCTATAAAGCGTCATTCTCCTTCGAGCCTACAAGAACTCAAAGACCGAAACGTCTCAGCTAAAATGGCTGGAACAGGATCCACATGCTTGTCTAATCTTTCAAACAAGTCAACGACTGATACGTCTACATATCCTAGCACCTTTGGAAAAATAATGAGCCCATAAATCCCTAAAGCAAACAAGTCAAGCTTCTTTCTCTTATCAGGGTGATGATCAATTACTTCTTTCAAAGCAGCCCAAGAGATGCACTCACTGTCTCCCTTCTTTTTAAGGTTTCTAACTACCCAATCTTCACTCATTTCGGTCATTAATAGTAATTTCTTCTTAAATGAATGAGTGATTGGCAGCTTGGTATATACTCTATCCATTTAGGACCTCGGACAACGGACCAAAGCTTGATACTCCTCTATTGTTCGCGTCAGATCCACCCTACCAAATGTGAAACAGCTATAAGCTGGATTCCAGAACTGCGCCAATGCTCTAAACAAATTTCGGTTAATAGGAACATCCAGAAGATAAGGAATATCATCGTACAACTGATAAAACATCTCCTTATCGGCTGCTTTCCATCTTCCCCATACTTCTCTTAGCTCACTCAGATCATTCTGACGTACATTGATGTGAGGGTAACCAAATAACTCCAACATGTATCTAGGCATCACATTGTCCCCGTTGGTCAGTTGGGACAGTTTCGACCACCTCAGAACATCTGCATTGTCCTCAGCCTCTTTCTGAACCATTCGTTCCATATTACTAGCCTTCTATATGGACATCGATCCCAAATCAACACCATGTAATGGATAGTGCAATGCAAAATAGAAAAGAAACAAGGCAAAGACAACAAAAGATCAGTTAGTAAACATAAAACAATTAAGTCGGGATAATAATTTGTTAAAGAATCCTACCCACATGCTGGCTGCCCAATCATGCTTTATCAGATCCTACCCAACATGATATCTACCCCCATGCTTTGTTATTCACAAAAAGAAATCCTAACCGCATGATATCTAATTCGCATGCTTATTCAAAAAATAAGTCTAACCGCATGATATCTAGTTCGCATGCATTTATTCGAAAAACGAAAAATAAATGACTCAAAAAACTTTTCCTTGTGTACCTTCCTCATGGGATTCTTAAGGTTCGGGGTTGGCTCAATCTAAGTTCAGGCTCTATGTTCACTATATGTTGGGTTCGGTTCTAAAGTAATAGGTTCTCGAATTGTCCTTATCGGTGCTCCTTAGGCTGTCGAACCCTCAATCCTGGCCCATCGCAGGCTTTAGGGTATCGAGTTCAATTTCGAGGGAACACACCTCCTTATGTCCATGCGGAGGTGATTATCATCAAGAGGACCATAAGGCGTGAGCTCCTGGAGCGATCCACTATCCCATGCGGAGGTGAAAACCACACGAGAGCATAGTATCTCACTCCTACTTAAATAGGACAGAGCGGGGTTTTATCTCATGTCATGAAAATGCAACTGTGCAGTGTGTGAGGAAAAGTGAAAAAAAAACACACAATAAAAACACTCAAAATTTCCTAAATTCACACAATTAATCTGAAACCATTAGCAAACAAATCACTACAACTATTTAATTGTTAATCGAATTAAATCAAAATACAAACAAAACTTATTAAAAACCAAACAAGGGATCAAAAATCAAATTAAAATGAATTTATAACTTTCAATTGCAAAGACAATTAATTAATTGACTATCGGCCTGACTCTCTAAAAAAAAGTTCCACAGTGGAGTCGCCAAACTGTCGAAACGATTTTTTTCTTAAAGGTGAAAAAGTGAGATTTTGAAAACCATATATTTTTAATTTCTTTCTTTCAATTGATTTTTAATTTAAAAAATAAATGCAATTTAAAAAACCTCTCGTTTCGAAAATTTTGGGATTCCGTTTACAATAGAAAAATATGGTTATAAGAGTCGCCACTAATCTTTGATTAGGGTGTGATTGGACACCCAAAAACAGTTTTGTTATTTAAAAAAATTAATTTTAACTCAAACAACAAGTTAAAGTCTGCGTTACCAAAATCGAGTTCGGGAGTCGATTACGAGTGAGGAAGGATAAACACCCCCACAACGCCCTAAATCGGTACCTAGTCGGTTAATTAACGTCTTTGCAATGAACTTTACAATTTCGAATTTAATTTGATTTATGATCCCGAGAAAAAAATGTGAATTTTACAATGAAATGTAGTAATATTAAATTATTTCATATCGAGAAGGAATAATTTATCAGTACTTGAGAAAATTAATTCCTACTCAGATAAAAATAATATAATATTAAAATTTCATTATAATATTCAAATGCACCCAAATAAATTAAATTATAATTACCAAGTCGTTTTAGAAAGATAAATAATGTTTGATTATTTACAAATATCGAGGCCAGATCTTAAAAGCTATAACAATTTTTTCTCGATAAATTTAAATAGTCGAACATTTCTTTTTCTTCCATTCCCAAATTTTAGGTGAAAATCGATTTTTTTTAGGTTTCACTTTCGGGATACACTTTTATTTTAAAATCATTAAAAGCGGACCTCAAATGCGTTATGACAACTCACTTAAAATAATTTTAAATTAAAAGTGTATTACCCTTAATTCAATTATATAATATGTCGAGTTATGCAAATGAGGTTACCATGCGAATCGTGCAAAAAAGGATGTCATGTCAAAATTAATTAAACAAAAACAAAATTAAAAAAAATAGCATACAACGTGACATACAAAAAATTTTAAATTAAAAGTGTATTACCCTTAATTCAATTATGTAATATGTCGAGTTATGCAAATGAGGTTACCATGCGAATCGTGCAAAAAAGGATGTCATGTCAAAATTAATTAAACAAAAACAAAATTTAAAAAAATAGCATACAACGTGACATACAAAAAAATTACATATATTTAAAATTAAAAACTATAACAATGCATATTAACCTATAACGTACAAATGTGAATCAAAATAAAAAATAAAAACATGATATGTTAAACTACAAAATTTAAAAAAGATATGTACATACATATAAAAAAACCCAATTTAAATGTACGTAAAATTAAGCATATAAAATTAGAAACAAACTAACGACTTAAACAAAAGTGCACATGAATCTAGAGGATCTTATATACAATTTATCCTATTTGGTTTAAATTAAGATAATATGCAAAATAACATAAATAGTACATGCACATTTGAAACGAAACAAGAAAATTAATATAAGAAAGGGGTTGCTTTGTAAAAGAGAGCATAAATTGTGAAGGCCTAAATTCTAATTTACCCGAAACTATTAATATATAACCTAAGTAAACTACTAAACTAGCCTAATCTTCAAGCAGAGCCGCTCAAGCTCTTCACTCATCTTCTCCTCTCTCATACCTCTCACGCATGACCCATGGCCAACGTTTGGCCACCATTCGGCCACTACACCTTGGTGGCCAACCTCCTTTCGACTGCAACCATACATCACCTCAACTGACCGACAACCCAACGGCGAAAGAAAGCGAAGAAAAAAAGGTAAGTTTCCTTCTCTTTTCCCCTGCACTTTGTCTTGTTTCAACTTATATTTACTAATCTGATTTCAACTCTCTCTTTTTTTGACATAGCTCGAACGTAGAACGAATGGAATCAACAAGACTCCATTTGAATTCGTATAACCCAAGTGGTTTAACCCCAAATTCTTTTTTTATTTAATTCAAAATAGTATTAGCACACTCACAAAAACGAAAGAAAACAAAAACAATTGAAGAAGAATTCCTCGGAAAAATACCTCTATTGCTTTCTTTGTTTCTGAATTGTAAGGTTACACTATTGTTTCTTGTCGTATCCTTTTACACCGCGAAATTGATGATAGCTACTAGCGTTTTCGGTATCTCGTCCTCTCGTGATGGTTAATATTTTTCTCCGATGACTCCTCGTTGATTTTTGTTTCCGTCCTCTAGTGGTCTCTTTCTCGGCTAATCTCCTTTTTTCCCTTGTCTGTGTAAAATTCTCTGTTCTGTGTCCGTCTTTTTTTTTTTTTAATTTTCTCTCCCCCTTTTTTTCCTTGTTATCTGATTCCCCATTTTCAGTGGTTAATTGTTTCCCAAAAATTGACTCTGTACCGTTTTTTTAATTACCCAAGTATCCTCCCACGATCAACAGTGCATTTCTCTCCCATAACCGCTTGCTACCCCATAATCGTTTTTGTTTTGCAGGACTTCATGTGGACTAGCAACTGGAATGATAATCCTGTTATTTTTGGACTGATTTGAGCTTCCAAATGATTTGGGTACGGGTTGCAAGCGATTTTTTATAAACTCGGTCAAAACGAGCATCTACAAATCATTACTCCCTATTAAAAATATTTCTCATCTAAACATGAGAATTTGAATCTAAAAAAAATATTCCAGCAGAAATCTTGAATTCCATAATCCAATCGCCCCTAAAAACATTTTTATCGTCGATCCTTTTTTCCCAGTTTCTTTTTCGTAATTTATCATCTGCGAAACAAATGTCTCACATTGGAAGATCAGGCCCTCCCGATATCTCCGACACCTACTCTCTTCTCGTCCTCAACATCACCTTCCGTAAGCTTCTCTTTCCATGGCTCCCTCGTTGATTTCTTCTTTGCTGAAAGTTTGATTATACTATCAGCTAAATATCTTTTGTTTGGTTTTGAATTTGTTCATTAACGACCGATGATGATTTGTTTCCGTTGTTCGACAAGTACGGGAAAGTTGTTGGCATCTTCATCCTCAAAGATCGAAGGTTATTGTTCTTCCTATCGATAAAACTTAATTCCTCTCTTGTTGTTGTTGGGAGTTTATAAGAGAATAGTTTTGATTATGATAGAACTGGCGATTCTCGAGGCTTTGCATTTGTTCGCTATCAGTATGCAGACGAGGCGCAGAAAGCTGTGGATAGGCTCGATGGTAGCCCATCTTCATCTCCTATCACTCGAGATTTTTTATTTTTTGCGAAAAGTTTCCTATTGATTGCGGTATTGCCATAATTTTGTAGATAACTGGTTACAGTATGTGAAATTTTCCCTCATCTTGCAGGGAGAGTCGTTGATGGTCGGGAGATAACAGTTCAATTTGCGAAATATGGGCCTAATGCAGAGAGGATGTAAGTTGTGTGCTGGCATTTGTTCAATTATTATTCAATTGCTTTTACACCTGAACAGATTGTGAGCTTTATGTAAAAATGATATATGCTGCGTGATCATTTATTTAGTGAAACTGTTGTGGTGCAATGCAAGCCATTTTTTTTCTTTTTAATTTTTTCTGAACTTTCTTATCAGTATATCTCCTTATCTCGCATGTTTTTAATATTTCTAGTAGTTTCAGTGTTAAGGTCTCTGCTGTACTATTTCTTTCAGTCATAAAGGAAGGGTTGTTGAACCAGTTTCAAGGTCAAGATACAGGTCGAGAAGTCGCAGCCCTCGCAGAAGGTTAAGTCATGTCATCCCCCCCCCCCTTTTTTTTTCCTGCTTACTGCTTCGACGACTTTTGATTTTTCATTTTCATTTTCATTTTTGAACAATAATTACATTTTCTATTTTATCTTGTCCCCACCTTTATGATAAATTATGGGTGATATTTATGAAAGAATAATGTTTTGCCTTTTCCTTAGGAACTGATGTAGTAGTCTTGATTATGTAGTATGAACATGATGGTGTTAGGTGTCGGTTGCTCTAAACAACTAAATTAAGTCAATATTTATCTGCTTGCTCCTGAATTGAATTTGACAAACTGGTTTTTGGGCAGTTTACATCTTGACATTTCTAAATTAACTTTTATCTGATTTGAGTTTAAAAGGGGAAGCCTGCTTGGTTTGTATATGTGATGCTTTTAAGCTTGTTTTGATAGCAAAAAAAATTAGGGATTAATTATGTTTATTTATGATCTTATCTATAATCATCTGATATGTATTGTATTCAATATCTTCAGGCACCGGGATGATTATTACAGAGATAGGGATTATAGGAAAAGAAGTCGTACTAGGAGTTATGACCGGTATGAACGTGATCGATATCGTGGGAAAGACAGAGACTCTCGACGTCGAAGCAGGAGCCGGAGTGCAAGTCCTGCCTATTCTAAAGGTCAAGGAAGAGGGCGCTATGATGATGATCGGCGGAGTGGCAGTCGATCAATGAGGTTTATATTTTTTACTTTGCTCTCACATCAGAGTGCCCATTTTCTTTTATTTTCCAATTCTTTTATGCTTCATCTTTGTGTTGAATCTGATGATACCCTTTTATTTCAGTGCTTCTCCTGCTCGCCGCAACCCTAGTCCTCGGAAGAGTCTTTCCCCACGCAAGGCATCTTCTCCCAGGGGTGAAAGTCCTGACAGACGCAGCCGTGACGGAGGATCTCCAAGTCCTCGAAGGGTTTCACCACTGGGCCGTCTTGCTGATTCTCGTAGCCCATCTCCTCGGAAATCTGATGTTGATGTTTGACTTTCTAATATATTCTTTTCCCCATCTCTTTATTTAATCTTTTCTAGTAAAATTATCTCTGAAAGCAGTTCTAAACTTATGTAGTTTCTAGCTTGGTGTTGCAGTACCGACCAAAGATTTTGTGAAGTAATCTTTTGTTATTTTTTCTTGTTACTTGTCTCCCTAACTAATCTCATGGATCCACTTTATCAAAGTTTTCCTTGTCTTTCTTTTCTAGTTATTGTGTTTTCCACATTCTATGAATGCTGATTCATCTCAAACCATCTGTTGGGTTTTATAGCGATGTTCGGGGAAAGAGTGACCTGAGAAAATGGGCATGATGTGGCTGTTGATGCTGTTTATGTCTGTAGATGAATGATCGTGATTGTGATGCTGGTGTATGCTGATTGCAGGGGACAGTCTGTTAAGTATTTTTTTTTTAACTGATATGATAATTGGTAAGATCTGTAGTCAAAAGTTTTGATTTTTGGAATGCCTCTGCATCATTCAGGTGTTTGATATTCCTTTTAATCTATCCCCTGGATTTACTGTTTTCAAAAGTCGGCACCGACATATAGTTGAATGCCATGCATGAGACCTGAACCTCATCGAACCATATAACCTTTTTCCCCCTCTGTAACTGTTTCATTCATATATTTCGGTATTCATGTTTAACCGCACCCTAATATTTTGAGATGTAGCGAAGTTGTCCATGTCTGTAGCTGCGAAGTGATGGTTGTGCCGGTCTGTTGTAAGAAACATATGGTTCGTGTTTAACCGTAGCCTACCAACAAATAACCTGTAGCAGGCTCTTGAGTAACGTTGATTATGGTCTTAGCGTTTGCATGGCTTTCCTGTTGTTCTGCTTGAAGCGGGCTGTCGCAGCGATTTCTTCGGAGTCATGTCAGTTTTACACTATATTATCAGTCGATTCTTTTTCTGTTCCAAAATTAAGATTCGTTTACGACTGTTATAATGATGACTGTGATCTAAAACAGATCACTGTTTGCTCATTTGTTCAGTGATAAAAAAGTGAATATTAGCTATTTTAGAGAGTTTAAATTTGAATAATTATATTTGCGGTGTGTATATTTTATTAATAGATTAAATTCTTCTAAAAGATATTATTTTATAAAGGTGTTTTTTCTGAAATATCACCTTTTACTATTAATTTTCTCTCTCAGGCACCCTTTAGATTATTTTTTTCGATTTAACATCCTTTGCAGTAGCGCGTCCCATGTAGCGCGCTTTACGTTGATCTGGCGTTACGTGGGGTAAGGTGCGCCCCTGTAGCACGCCTTATGCTGACATGGACACACGTGCCTAAAGCACGGCCCCTGGGGCGCGCCTTACGCCACGTAAGGCTATAGCGCGAGGTAAGGGCCGCGCCTTACCTTTGAAGCTGACACGTGTCTGAAAGGTACGCCCCCTACGACGCGCCTTAGGTTTAATTATCCACCTATCCCGACCATTCACACCCCCACCCCCTCCCTATAAATATCACATTCTCAATCACTTTCATCACATCAAATCATCTCAACTTCTTTCAAATACTCTTATATTCTCTTATAACTGTTTAAGGTATATTTTATTATATTTAATATTTTGTTTTTAATTTATTTAAGTATTTAAATTTTTTAATATTTAATTTATTTAATTTTTTTTTGCAGATATAAAATGGAAGGCGGTCTACTTCGCTTGGATGGAAATCATATATCGCGACATTTTGTTGATACGGTAACATTTTAACGTTTTAATTTAATTTAAATTATTAGTAATAATTTATTTATTTATTTAATGCATGATTATTAGTTTAAAAATTAATTTTTGTAATTATTTAATTGTAGGAGAGGGACCGTGTATTAGATCCTTTTATTAGGAACATTAAGTTAGTGATACCTAGCCATGTCTTGCTGTATTTAGTAGAAGCTGGATTCGGTCACATAGGTAGATATAAGAGTCACTGTAAGATAGAACCAGACCTTATTGCTGACTCACACATTCCATCTTCCGTGTGGAGAGTGCACGATTACACTTGAGGATGTTTCTATGCACCTGGGGTTTTCGGTGGATGAAGATGTGATATCGGGGATGGCGTACGGTTCATGGATTGCTTTGTGCCGGGAGTATCTAGGACGTGTCCCGGAAAGTTTTAACGGTGGTCGGATACCGTTAAATTGGTTAGATGTCAATTTTTGGGAGTTGAGCGAGGACGTATCTGATGATGAAGTTAAAATGTATGCACGGGCATACATAATGCAACTGATAGGAGGGTTGCTGATGCTGGACAAATCGCGTAACCAAGTTCACTATATGTGGTTGTGACATCTTGGCGACTTTCGTCTGGCCGGATCACTTAGTTGGGGCTCAACAGTTTTGGCTTTCCTTTACAGGGAGATGTGTCGAGCCACTGACTACAGGAAAAATGCTATCGACGGATGTCTCCTGCTGCTACAGTCTTGGGCATGGTATCGATTGCCCTTTTTATGTCCCGTTGTCAAGAACCCATTTGTATTTCCGCTACTATTGAGGTAATTATAAAACTGATTTCGTATATTAATAATTTTATACAATGTATAATAAATTTTATTTTCCTTGAATAGGTGGTCTACTGATAGGAAAAATCATCATGAGCTACCTGATGATTTAGAAAAAATTAGGGTGTTAATCGATCAGAAGGCTGACACACAGCTATGCATTTTTAATGTTTAAAAATCGATTTTAGATTATAGTTGTATAATTGGATTATTATTTTGATAAAAATTATATATATTTGTTTTAGTTTGAATTGATGTCATATTTTAATGATGATGTAAGGATGGTGATCACACCAGAGTTGAGGGGCCCATCAGATGTTTGGATAGCGGTGGTCCCTTTGATCTGTTATGCGATCGTCGAGTGACACTCCACTAATTGCGTGCTCCGGCAATTTGGTTGTTTTCAACCAATTCCGGAAGCACCTCGCAATATGGACGAGTTGCATAACACAGATAGACGCGGCAAGACCGACACAGATTGGCTGATGAGGCATAATGAGTGGGTCGTGTTGTGGGAGGATCGACATCGGTGTCTTTCCCGTAGAGAGCCAATTTTTGTTGACCACTTGACGTTTGTTGATGATTATTATGAGTGGTTCAATAGTAACGAGAAACCGTTTCTGCTTTCCGAGGATACACGAGGGTTGACCTTTCAGCAACGTCGATAGAGACGTTCACCGATACAGCGCCATCGTCCCCCGACTCGTTGACAGAGAGCATGTGCTTCCGGTTTATCCTCAGCTGCACCAGAAAGACCTTACCCGATGCCGCCGCCGCTACCGTCACCTGGTTTTATGACCTTGTCGCCGCTACCGTTATATAGTTATATGACCCCTTATGGAGGATATTATGGGTCTATATTTGCATATCCGACTTGGGATTCATATGCCCACATTTTGCGGGTTCAGCCTCATCACCCATGGCCGCAGCACACACCTCTTGTACAGTTTTCACACTCAGCGATGTCTGGGTTTTATGAGTTTTCCCAGTTTTCGCAAGTCGGTGGGATAGTCAGTCATACACCTCCAGGGTCCTTATTCTATGGAGGTGTTTCATCGTCATCACTTCCTCATCAACCTAATGTAGCTTCTCAAGACGACGACGACGACGATTATGGTGATGATGATGACAACGAGGAGTCACAACCAGTGATAAGGAGAAATCTTCATCGAGATCGACAGCCACCGCCCTGCGGAACACATTCGTGTCGCATACATCGATAGATTTTATTTTTTTATTATATTTGTATTTAGTTGTTTATTTGATTTTTTATTGTAATTTTTTATTATTTATCATTTAATACTTACTTTATTTCGTTAATTTGTTTGGATTTATTTTAATTTATTTTATTAAATTTGTTGGACATTTTGTTAATGTATTTTGGTTAATTTTGTTTTTTACCATTTAATATCAGTTATTGTAATTTGATTATCATTTAATACTTATTGTAAGTTTGTTGTATTTAAAATTATATTCAAATACCAAATTGTTATTAGTTTGATAAAATTTAATAATTGTGTTCGATAACTTTCTTCAGTTTATCACTTATTATCTCTTTTATTATAATCACGTATAACGCCAACGTCCAATCTCGTATTCTTGTATCATTTTTTTAATCTTCATCAGTGGTTATCGAATGACATTAACTTGAAGTAAATGCAAATTAAAGTACAATAATTATTATTTGATAAACAATTTCATCAGTTTCTCATCAATTGTTACTTGATGACAGTAGAAGTGGACATGTTTTTCTAGTGTGTCCTGGGTTTCTACAATGCCCACATCTTCTGTCTTGTCTAGATCTTTCTCGAATATCCATATCACAATGAATTCGATTGGATTTTGGGTGACCACACTCCTTCAATAAAGTCGAATTTGGTACAATCGGAAGCCAATCCTGAACCTCATCAGGGTCTATGTCATTACCTATGGGGGGAACTCAAATTCTTATACCTTAAAAACTTCAGATAGTATGTATAAGGGATCCACAAAATAATTATAGTCTTGACGTGTATGCGAGCCACAGTCGCACGTTTTGTTCCGTAGATTTACTCTTAACGACACAGCTTCAATCCCATGAAGAGGTCGCGGTAACTCTGTAACACGAAACATTTGATGCAACAATTTTTTTTTTGTAGATATACAACTAATCTTGGGTGATAGACATAACCGCCTTGCATCAAGGTTTGAGCTTGTCCCCCAAGCTTCGCAAAAAGCGCCCCAAACGAAAATATGTAGTTTTTACCAAAGCCTCTACAGGTAAGTGACGTGCACTCTTTAAGGTTGAATTGATTGTCTCAGCCAAGTTGGTCTTCATGTGTCCATATTGATATCTATCATCATATGCGTTCGTCCACATTTCTTTATCGATGAGGCTGGTGTAATCGTATCCTTCCTCGTTTTTTTCCCGTAAATCTTGAAGCATTGATTCAAACGTTTGAGGAAGTAGTTCGTAACCTGATCAAAAAATGTATAACTTACTAACTTGTTTTCTTTGCAAAATTTAAATGATCAAAAGAAAACAAACTACATCAGTTTCACTTATCCATGTGCACAATTAATTGACGCTCATCATTCTTCTTGTACATTCCATGGTAGTTCGCATCAATGTGTCGGAGACAATACCTATGTTGGACAAAGGGTGGTTGCCACATTGGACCCAAAGACTCCATTGTTGCTTTGATCCCAACTCCGCGATCTGAAATGACACATATTTTTTCCCTCGTGATAACATGTGCATGTAAGTTTCGGAGAAAAACAACCCAAGAATATGTATCTTCTCATTCAATAAGAGCAAAAGTAACTGAAAGAATGTTGCGATTGCCATCTTGGACAACTGTCAATAATAAAACTTGCTTGCATTTTCCATACAAGAAAGTCTCGTCGATCTGAACCACAGACTTGCAATATTTGACAGCATTAATACACTGTGGGTAAGTCCAAAAAACCCGGTAGAATTGACATCGATCGCGAATAACTCAATCATTATGGTATGCATAGGAGGTTTCGAAGTCCACAATTGTCCCAGGATTCAACCTCAAATCCAACCTAAACTAGCCTGGAAGTTCGTTGTAAGATGCATCCCATTCACCATGACGTTTGACAATGACATTTTGTTTTGCCAACCAAGCTTTTTTATATGAGACAGTGTACCTATACTGCGATTGTATAGCTGAAATCAACACATCAACAACTATATGAGAGCTTGCTTTTACCATGGGCATGATGGCTTGGCATATCACTTCAGAGTCCAAGTTGGGATGATCTTGGTTGACCCCTCTAGCACAACATGTGTGAGGACCGTTGTATACTGTTAGTTTCCATCTGTTGTTTTTACTCTTCCTCTTCGATACGCGAACCATCCAATTGCATCCGTTTTCGCGTCGGGCACTG